AGGGGTGCAGAGAGCTTGAGAGGCAGACGAAGAAACTGCAGGGGAAAGACGACGGACGTCTCAAAGTCAAACCAAACTTCAGTCTCAACTTCTCAAGATTAGGTGGCATTGTAGGTAGAATCTGAGCTGCTGAATGAGTAGCATGTCCTTTGCACCTGGGTACGTCTTTTCGTCTTTTCTAGCAAGCACAGACGTCCCCATTGGTCCCCCAATGGTTTGAGTCTTGACCGCCCTCTGTCAGCTGAATGTTGCAGCTATCATGCAGACTAGATCAGAGCATGTTCTGCAGGTCCTGCACATGCACTGCAAGTTTAGGGAGCAGTGCAGAGTGAGATCACTTTGCTGACAATCACTCATGAAGGTGTTGTAGGCAGGTACAGTATATAACTCAAGTGGATTGAATGGCCGCATTTGTTGAAAGACATTCAACGCACTTGGTCCAAGTTCAATCATACGAGCGGTAGAGGGCGCAGTGATACAGCTGCATTGCCCAACTCTTCTGCACCCAAACAATAGAGGCAGCTGCCACTTGTTTGTTAGCTCCCAACAACTTCTGCCTGGGGCTGGATGACCTTCTGCCCAGATTCATGCGACCAGCAATCCACCACAACTGAACATTGTCTGAACAGGGGAGCTCTTCCCAGAGTCAGTCTCTGGCCAACATGATGGCCCCAGCTAAGCGCCGCGCGAAACGGCCAACCCTCATTCCAACGCTCCTCCTGGAGTTCCTCGCAGGCGCATTCGTACTTTGTTTCTATTTCCTCTACCGCCGCTACCACAATGCAGTTGGCGTAACCCCCAAAAACTCCCTGAGGCAATCCTGCCAGTTTACAAAGTGGGTTAACCCTGCGGTAGAGCCCCCGGAGGAGGAGATTGGGGACAGGTGGGCATGCCCCTCGGAGCGCTTCTGCCAGGTGGCGCTCCGCGATTCGTGCCTGCAGCGGCGGCCGCCGGCAGGGCCGGACTCGCGGATGTATCAGCACGACTTTCAGCTGCTGGTGGCGAGCGTTGCGCAAGCGGAGCAATGCGGGGCGACTGCGGGGAAGTTCTCAGATCACTACAAGGGCTGCCGGCGTTTTGGGTTAAATGCAAACCTCAAATTTGAGGACGGGGGTGTGACCCCGGGGGGGCGGGTGGAGTCAAAGCCGACGATCCTGATCAACTGTATGGACATGATGTGCGATAACTGGTTCCAAGCGGTTGCATATGTGGCGTATCCGACAGCAGCGCTCATGGATCAACTGGGTCTGCAAGAGCTGCGAGGGTTTGCGCTTCGGATCCTGATGGATAAGAACAAGGGGCGGGAGCTTCTAGTTGGGTTGATGGAGACTTTCAAACCAGACGAGGTCATCTTCTCAGCGATGAATATGCAGGAAAGCCAGGACCTTGGGTGCTACAGTCGTGCTTACTTCATGGGGTATGACTCGCACCCGTTCCACTGCGACCTTAATCGGAAGGTTGGCATTAACCCAACGTTGGTCCGGATGTCACGATTGATGATGTCAAGCATGGGTTTTGTGGCCCCTCCTGCGCTGAAGAGGGACGTGTCCGTTGTGCATGCCAAGCGCACGGGGGTGCGGCGAATCCTCAACCCCACCGAAGTAGAGGCGGAGTTTCGGCGGCCAATCCGTTATGTTGAAGAGAAAGAGGGGGCGGATTGGAAGGACTATTTCCGGAAAACGATCCAGACGCACCGGGAGGCATCGGTGCTGTTTGGGGTCCAGGGCGCGGGGCTCACGAACCTGCTGTTTTTACCCCCCGGGGCGGTGGTGATCGAAGTCGGGAATGATGGGTTCGTGTTCCATGCGTTCAGAAACATGGCGGTGCAGAGCGGGCACTATTACATGTTGATAGAAGTCAGTAAAGAAGCCAATGATAGCGCGGTGGTGCTGCCCGCGAGCGGGAGCGCTCAAGCAGCTGATCTGTGGGTGCATCCGAAGGAGGTGAGGCGGGCAATGGACACGGCAGAGCAGCTGCTGCAATTGCCCCGAGACGTTGTTAGCTAGCCTAACACGCAGGTACCTTAGATCCGACTACGTTTTGGCTTCCCATGCAATAGTGTCTCTCGACAGCGTAGAGTTGACACTGCGGTTGCATGAACGATTTTGCTCCCTATTTGAACGGTTCCAGTATTGGAAGTCCAGGCAGCATGCATGTAAGCTGTCCCAAGGTTCATTCCCGGTCGCGGGCTTACCTTCGTCTTGTGTGGACTCGTTGCGAGCCATCAAGGACTGCAGGATCATTGCTGCCCACTGTATCGGTCGTATAATCTGCAAAATCCGGCAGTCATTGCTTAAGTACGTGTTGCTGCATCCGTCTCTACGTCAGATATCCAACGGGAGCTTGGACATGATGCTATATAAGCCCCCGGCGGCTTGAAGTGTTTAGGCGGCCGCCCGGCCCTATATACGTACCTAATAATAGAACCCCTTGGTTGACGTGTGTGCATCATTGCCTGCATCACGCCGGATTAAAGTACTAGCTTCATGCCTGGACTCCCGTCAATTCGGTGCACATGCTGCAGCTCTGGTCGGCCGCGGATATATCTCTGAATCTTCACAAGGCATTCGAATCCCCCTCAGTTGCATCCTTACCGGCCCAGGTCCGCTTTTAGTGAAGGATATCGCTACGTTGCCGATCGGTTATTGCCGCAGAATACCAACGTTTTGACGGCATCAGAGCAACTTTGATCATAAGTGAACAAAGAAGGCATGCGCTTCATGACCACACGCGGCTGACTCATGTAAAGCTACCCAGAATATCTCCTGAGGACCAGATGCCTTTGCCGCGCTTCAGTGCAACGGCCAAAACGGTAAGTGGGTGTTACTCACTCGTTGGATTCGAATCAGGGAATATTGATGGCAGTTTCAGTGCGTTCGCCTAGATAAGTATAAACCTTCAGCAACTTTACTTCCTCCTCAAAAGCATATTCGAGAGATCGACTAACTAGTAAGAATTTTGTGCGATTCAACATTAAAGCGTTAGTACTTTGTCTGCCGTGTTATACGTCCAGGCCACCAACGCCCAAACGAGCAACCCGATAATCCACCATACGGACTTGAAAGGCGAACTGTGTATATTCAACGGGTGGGCTTGACCTACTGTTCGATGGTCGAGGACACTGGGGTGAATCCTTGCCAGGTGCCTGCACAAGACGGCGAAGTTGCTGTTCAGATTTGGTCACGTGCTCTGGAAAGAAAAGTCTTCATCCGAACAAAGTAAGTCTAGAATCTCTTTGTTTGGAAGGCGTCCTGGATCCGGACGAGACACATCGGGACTGCAATCGTAGAGTTGCCAAGCACAGGCCCATAAGCTGTTAAACCTTCCTTGCAGAACTTATTGTAGAGAATTGCACCTTTGAAGCGCGGATGCCTCCAGCGCGTCATTGGACAAAGCCAAGAACCCTGTTGCAGGCCTTGAAGGAGATGAGCCACGACTCAGAGGAAGGAGAAATGCACTCCCTTACTCTCTTGAGCAGTAGACGAGGCACGCCGGAATGACGCTCATGACGGCAACCCCTGCGTATGCGCCCGTGACCCCAACCAGCGAGTCCAGTTGGAGGTGCGAGTGCTGCAGGAGAGACGAAACGCTCAGTACCGAGAAGTGCAGGGCGTTACACGACAAGAACAGAGACGAGTCGGGGACTGCCTGGCTGAAAGACGACCCGAGCTACGGACTCGACAGATGCACCGTCTCGGACTTGAAGAAGATTCGTTACTTGTCCGAATCACAGGGCAGTCCCATCCGATTAGAAAAGCGCCCCCCCGGGGTTAACAGGACACCGAGGCAGACCGATGTATGTCAGAAAGGACGTGGGATGAGGGGCATCTGTAGCTGCCAGTTGACGTTTTGAATCTTTGGCTCAACCCTTTAAGGTGACTGTTAAAACAGTGAGCGGGACAGCTTCGATGCTTTCCAGACGCAATCGTCTTCTGGTGGTCTTAATTGGGCCAAAAGTTAGAGTGATTATGCGCTTTTCCAATCCGAGCAATGGGTACCCTTGCGAGACCTATGCCCCATCCCATTGGTCTTCACTTCTACCCTATCTGAGAGGCTGCTTCCATTGATGAATGGCTTTACAACGGCGGCCCTTACGAGAGTGCGTCGTCACCATATGCTGCTAACCGAACTCAAGAAAAGGTGGACCAGTAACTCGACAAACGAGACTCCTGCCAGGCAAAAGAACCTCAAAGAATCACAACCAAAGAATGGAGAACGAACAACTCGATGAACCAGAATCCTGCAAGGCAAAAGGACCTCAGTAAGCCAAAGCGGTCTCTGGTTAGCGGTCTGTACCTCGGCAATGACAGAAAGGACAATGGGCGGCAGAGTGGCAGCCATCGTAAGCGCGACCCGCCGCGCCGGAATGCGATCGATGGCCTGCGGATCCGGGACGGCCTCGCCTTCGCCCTCGCCCTCTCCTTCGCTTTTCAGCTTTCGTGGGTGCAGATGGGGGGCCGGCGTTACTGCAGAGCAAAATATGTCATCGTTATTATCCGATGAAGAGAAAAAACCCGGGTCGTGTTGTTTCGGTTTGGTTGAGAGGCCCTTAACCCATGTACTTTAGGAGACGTGATCCGTGAGCAGTCAGTGTTCACCACCCTCTGGAAAAAGACGCTCAGGACGCCCTTAATCACCTCATCAACCAAGTGGGCTGCTCTGCAGGCTTTCATTTCCTGTGATTGGGCTAAGTTTGCAACTCAAACTACTCTCCAGCGCTCTTTCACCCCAATTCATAGAGTCGCAAACTTCCCACCGGTCGTTAACCCCAATTCAAAGCATCTGATTTGCAACATAGAGGTGCGCTTCTCCCTCTACTCCTCGGCCCCGCTTCTTTTACCTTTTTGAGTCTTTCGTTGTTTTTCCCCGCTTTCTCTGTGGGTTTTACTATCTTGTCGTCTTGGTGGGCGCGGATTGGGGGCCGGTGTTACTATATGGAGACAAAGATGGACGTTGAGGGCTTTGGAAGCGCGAAGCATTGGAAAAGGCTATCTCGAAGGCGAGGAAAGTAGGGCGCATCACGAGGGCTGGGTCCAACGCTTTTCAGCTTTCACGGGGGCAGGTGCAAAGCAGACAACTGAGGCAAATTGGTATTGAGCAGGTGTGGACGCAAGGCGCCAAAGCGCAGGCTCTCCAAAGGATCGCGCACCAGCGCATGATTTGCTTGCCTAAGGGGTAGTATGGTAGTAAGGGTAGTCGAAAGCAGAATTGTGCTAAGTGCCAAAAAACGCTCCACGGAATTGACAACCGATGTCTCATCAGCCTGAATATTCTTCCAGCGGGCTTTTGAAAGCACCTGAAAGCTCGTCTGAGTGCATTCGTTCCGTTCCAGCTCATTCGGAGGATCTCAAAGTTGCCACCACCTTTATCTGTTGGGAACGGAGATGGAGGGGAGAAAGGGCTCACATCGGGAAGATATGAGGCTAGCGAAGATGTCCAAGTTGTTCCGCAGCGTGATACCAATGATTGGGAAACTTGACGACAGCGTGAAGACTGCATCGAGAAGAAAGATGATGTCAACCTGTGATTGACGGTGATAGGAGCGCACGCAACGATCAATGCACTCCGATCAAAGAACTCCATGGCAAGAGGCTAGCTGGCCGTAGTACATTGCGTTCGACCAAGATCCAGCGGGCAGAGAGAAAGAGAGCGCGTCAGGAACCACATTCGAATCACCTCGCCTCGATTCTAAGCAAGGTAGCTGGGGAAGCAAGTAATAAATCAGAAGCAGCGTCTCACTGCAGCAGGTATACCTTCATGGGTTGTTGTTGATAGGAATCTACAGTTGCGGTCTGTGCTTGACTGAAACGATATGATTTACCCCCATCGGTATACAACGACGACCAAGATTGTGGAGTGACTAACTACCTGCATCGGTGAACAAGCATGCTTTTCTCTATGAAGCCGTTTCTAGCACGTACCTTTAAGCGCTAAGCCTTGCCACTACGAATCCAGTGAACGACAATGAGCGGACTCTAGGACCCCTGACTCCTGAAACGCTAAAACGTAAAACCCAACTTCAAAAACCCAGAATCGTAAGTCACCTGGGAAGAGCAGCAGGAAGTCGCCGACCACGCCGTACTTCTCGGGGGGGAAGTTGAAGGTGATGGGGTCGCGCACATTGATGCCGTATGCGAGGCAGGTCGACACGAACAGGCAGACGTAGAGGAGCAGGATCGCGACGAAGGCGGTCGTGACGAGCTTCGTCACCTTGGCCTTGTTCTTGATGGGCGTGATGATGCTAGGCAAACTGCGGAAGAGAAGAGGAGAAGGTGGGGGTTTATAGAGGGGGGGGAGGGCAGGACTTGAGATAAGAGTTTGTGGGAAGGGGGTCGTGACGAGCTCCGTCACCTTGGCCTCGTGCTCGATGGGGGTGTTTGGAGGAGGGGGAAGGCGGAAGGAGGGGTGAAAGCGATGGCGAAGCTCGCCCCCTCTTCCTTTATCCCAGCTACAGATTTGTGCACATGGGCCACCTCTTTCAACAAGTGGATCAAGGGTTTTACTGAACACGCAAATGTGTTGGTTTCGACTACTTTAGAATGAGGATCACTAAACGAAGTGGTCCTCATATATCGCCTCGAAGGAGACGACATGTTGAAACAAAGATGTAGAAACCAAAAAAAACTGGTGTTCCAAACTACCTAAAAGCTCGATCTGCTACAGATGAAACCGCGAGCCTCGGGATGCTCACCTGTGGTGGCACATGAAGGCGTAGACGGCGCCTCCAAACAGGTTCGGCAGAGCTCTGCACGATGACATGCAAAGCATAAGCAGAATGACCCTCACTATCGAGGATGACAACTGCATGCAAACCTGCGTCTACCGAGCCGTGTCAAACGCCACTTTTCGGGTTTCTTTGCTCGGCACACAACTACAAGCGCTGTTTTGAGATGAAGGAAAAAAGAAGCAAATAAAGCTGGCAGACTAGAGCGCTATATGAAATCTGAAAAGGCAGGAAAAGCAACAAGGGCTTGGAAGAAGTAGTTGGGCGCTGCATGAAATAGCCGGACTTTACCTGAGGCTGGCGCCCGGAATGAACTTGGTATGAGGTCCCCTCTGGATGACTAGCCTCGATGACAACATAATCATACTGCACGAGATGGAAAAAAGAGGCAAATCAATTGACTGAGCTGCAGAGACTCATTCTTTGCTTGACGACGTTCTCACAGAGTACACGTCGCTGCAGAAGCTTGTGGCACACTGATCGCTCATTCTGCTGGATGCATCTGAGGATATTTTACAGTCGGCCTGCGACGTCATGCTGAAAAAGTCAGAGCAACAGAGGACGTTCTTTTACAAGGATTCGGTCTTCAAAGACTTTACTCAAGCCACGAGGGGAGATTCTAGATCTGGACACAGAGCTGCGCTTGACTTGAATCCGATGTGCACCTTCTGAACGTGGACTCCTCGTGTGGAATATCTGCTAGATATTTTCGTCCGAGTGAGGAAGTTACGAATCAAGTTAGGAAGCGAGAAGGACCCTTTTGAAAACATGGGTGAGAGAATATGAGAGGCTCACATTAACAACGCAGCATTTCGTATAATCTGCACAGGAAAACGCCGGGCTGGGTTCAATCGTAAATGCACTTGCTTAGGGATTGCCAAGAAACGTTGCAACTTGCAGGGAAACGTCAAACGACGCTTCCTTTTCATTCAAACTGCTTTTGCAAATCGTAGTACTGAGAGCATGTCTCATGGGCTGACATATTGTTCCAATTTTCCGAAAGACGATTAACGACGTCGAGACAAGGAAGCTTGTACTCTGCCTCCAATCAAGCAACAATTACAAGAATAGGAGCTGGACCTCAGGTCTTCACGCACACACGGTCGGTTTGCTGTGTCTCTACGGATCGCCATATGAGACTCGCTCTGAATCATTTCACTTGATGATTAGAACCACAAGTTGCTGGATGGTATATGCATATACCCAAGCTCACAATGGTGGAGATCTGCAGAAGCTTCGTCTTCTGGAGGTCGAAGAAACTGCACGCAAAGAGTATTTATGAGTCCAGACCTTCAATTTCGGACCAGTAAGAGTGCCGATAAGTTCATCAATTCTGCTGACAGGAAAGCCAACCAACCTGCTGAGAAGAGAAAGCAGTCAAGCATTCGGTAAAAACCAAAGAGGGATATACTCACCAGAAGGGCACGATGATGACGACAAAAACGAAGAGGAAGACGTCGAAGGCGTAGGCGGGTGCGTTCTCCCCATAGATGAACAGCACCATGGACTTGGGGACGACCGTCGAGTAGATGGTGAGGTCACCAAACAAGTAAATCTGCAGAGGGTGAGGGCGATCTGGAATACTGCGGGTGTGATTTCTGAGATCTTATCTAGTTTTCTTTCGACCTCAGGGGAAGCTTTTGAAGCCAGAAGATCCGGAGCATCTCAGCAGGTTATCAACGAAAGTCGAGAGTAGTTGCAAGACCGACTACTCACGCTGCTGGTTCAACAGCAGATCGACGCCCCCCACAGAAGAGGTCTGGTCGTACTTAGAACCAGAAAGGTGAGGGGCGTGTCAGGAAGACGAGCATACTTTTGCGTTCTAGCATATTGTTGACATATGGAAAAGGGTTGAAATTATATCAAAGTTCATTGGGCGTATTGTGGACAACTTTGAAACAGGCTGCACATATAAATTGGCGAAAGACAGGACTTCCCAATAATCAGCAGAAATGAAAGTGCTCGAGAAAGTAGTAATCACTTCAATTTCGAAGATGGGAAAGGTGGCCAATGCTCACAATAAGGGCTGCGTAGAAGAGCGTCCGACCCGTCAAGTTGAAGAAAACGTCCTGTATGAGAAAAAGGTTGGGTTCATGAGGCCAATAATTTGGCACAGCGTTTTGCTTGCAACCATGACAGTTTGAATTGAAGGCAATCTTCGGAAGGATGTCAACGTACCAACCGGATACGTCACCTTGGCAGGCTTCAGAATTTGAACACGAGGCTTCCTGCTGACGTACAGGCACTGGAAAGCGATCTCGCCGGACGGTAATTCAGGCAAAGAACAATGTTCGAACATGGCACGACAGACATTCACAGATTGTGTCTGCGGGTCCGCCCATAGGACTCTCGATGAAGGGCTGGCTCTTGCTTACCGCCATTTGGCCCATCTCTGTGCGGAGGACAATCATGAATGGCTGGTTCTTGCCCTCTTCCTCCAGGAGCGGAGAGTCCTCCACCTCCCCATGCCCCGTCAGCGCCTGCGTCTACAGGAAGGGCCGTCATTACAAGGGTTAATGAGATCTTGAAATACAAGTTTTGACCTTTCAGAAGATACTCTATGACCATCGAAGAGCGACAAGAAACTACGTTGCAGGACCCCACTAGAACTGGAGCCAATCAACAAGAGCTTGCAAGTTGTTAAGCCTCCCTAGAGTGCTCACTTGAGTGTCACAATGCAATTTCTGGTTGTCATCAAATTATTCATTCCCCAGAAGTCCGCATATTGCTCCAATTTGATCCAGAGTCATGGCCTCTCTTGGATCAGCCTTGAGCAAACCATGGAAAGACCGAGGCCGTCACAAACTGTCAAAGAAGAGTTAATTCACAGACAGCAAATGATCAAAAGGATAGTTGAGCAATTGAAAAACGCTCACCTTCCGCTTGAAGTACAGGACCGCATTCGTAGCTGCCATCGTCTCAATGATGAACGTTACTCCAATATAACTGTAAGAGAAAAATATGTGTGCTTTTGTATTTTGAGACTCCACCCAGATAAGTTGGAAGGGCTCCAAGATGCGGCCATGTGTTTCAGATTAGCTTACACTTTCATAAAAGACTTGAAGGAAACCGGACAATGACGTTGTAAACTGAACTCACCTTAAGAAAGCCACGATGACCATGAATGATGTTCCAAGAATCTGCAGAAGAACCAGCTCTGGATCATCGTAATGCCCTGTTACTAGAGTGTGAACCAGGTGAGTCGTTTCTCAAGGACAGAAGTTTGTCCTTGAAAAGTATGCAGCAAAACTATTCCGCAGCATCTGTGGAGGGGCATATTTCATATTGAGGGCTCCGACGAAGGTTTTGATGATGTTACAACTATGGTTTGGATTTGGATGACCATTCACCCGGTTCACAATCTGCAGGCGATCGAGCATGCATGAAGCGGGCCTTGCAGCAGAGAGTGCCAGACGAGCTGTGACTACGAGGGTGGTTGCTCCTCACCCATCCACCCCTGATCAAGACAGAAGGCAACGCCAACACGCCTGGTGAGAAAGAAAGGAAGGGTTTTGTACATCATACAGCAGAAATTGCTGCCATTTAGCAGGTGACAATCTAGCACCAGCAAACACAGACGTTGAGCTCAGCCTTAGCAAGCTGACAACCGATAATACTAAGCCAATTCCCCTAACTGTCAGGTAATTCAATGCTGTAGCATAGACCAGGGGCAAAAGGAAATGACGTACCTGTCCCAACCACCAGGTTGAAGAGGTACCTACACCAGAAGGCCATATACGCTAGGTAAGTGCTGGCAGGAGCACAGGACAACATTGGCTTATGGACCTAGAACGTCAGAAACCCTAATATCACAGGCTTGTCTTAGGTGACCGCATCTTGAAAATAGAGAGACATCAGTGCTTCCTTCAACGCCAACAATCCTTCATGATGTTCAGCTGTCCATTCTGATATGCTTTCTTCAGCACATAATTATGCACCATTCATTGCTTGTGAATGCAAATGCACTAAAGGTCTAAAAAATAGGTTTGGATAGTCAGAGCACTGGTCAGATCAAGAAGAGGATGTTCTCACATGAAGGCAGTCAAAGGTCCATAGGTCGCCCCGCCCGCTGAATGTCCCCCCGCCATTAGGAGCGACTCGCTGGACTGCTTTGACTTCTTAAAGTAGCTGATCAGCTGGAGAGAGATCAACCCGAGGGGCTGTCGCCTCAGAACTTTTGCTGATTTGCATATGGCATAGACAACCGTTGAACACAGGACGCGTGGAGCAACCCAGCTGCGCCGAGTCATAGGAGTTGCGGTACGTCTTGTCGACAGCTACCGTCCACAATTTCTCGAGATGTATCACACGGCTCACGGAAATAGCCGTCAGGATTGCCATGGATCGTGATTCATGGAGCCTGAGAGCAACCTGTGGAGGGGCGGCCACCAAACTCCACAATTTACCACCATCTTGCAAGCATCATGCTCAGCCTCAGCCTCAGGCTCAGCACTGCCAGTGCAGGTCAATTCTGTTCTCAACAATGCACATAGTTTCTTGAGCGAACTAGAGGCGGAGAACGCCTTGGTAATCAAGGGCGAATTCCAATTTTAAAGCTCACTGAAACTTACCGTACTACAAATAGTAAGTATAAGGTCCTTGGCTAAGCCAGACTTTCGACAAATTCCGATCGTCTATTAGAAATATTCGGTATCTTCTAAGTCGTCTAAGTCGTCGATTTCCCTCATCCTTGCGCGGCGATATGTAAGGAGACTGCCAGCTGGCATGGCGGGGCATAGCTGTAACTTTCCTGCTTTTTTGAAGAAGAGAAATGGCGGCTTGGCACTGGGCCTTCACTTCCGAAGTTGGTGCAGGCGCCGTTGCAAAAAGCTGGTGATGAGATGCTGCTTTAAAGAGTGAATGCCAGCTAAAAAGGGTGCAGAGCTTGTGATTGCGCTGATGACTGCAAATCTCCATTTTATGTGTAGCTCAGCCTCCGAGTCCGCCTGTGGTATTCCAGCGGGAGACACCTAGAATGTAAGAGCATTTAAGGAATTTGAGTTCATGGGAAGCTCAAGCAGGCATCCTGGCAAAACATCAGGAAGAATCGACTGATCATCCGTGCTTACTTGCATTGAAAGACGGCAGGGTGTGTTGGAGGAGGGAGACGCATACAACCATGCCAGGAATGGTGAGACTGCAGTTTTGGAAGCGACTCCTGCATGCATGATTTGTGCTACTTCCGAGTGAAATAGGAAAGCGGCTCTCTTTCACCAGACAACCTGCTCCTGTCAATTCCCCTTTGCGCAATTGGGGCGCTGGCACGAGGCACCCCCCCGCTCTTTCCTGGCGAGATGTTGCAGCTTTGAGACGCCGCAGCTTGGCAGGGAAAGAAGCTCTGAGCAATGGCGAGCAAAGATTCCAATGTTCTTACAATATCAAAATACGAAGAGTTTCACGTTCGTAATCAGGCAACTCTGTAGGACCATGTACGCAAACAGAGTCTGCCCTGATGCATTCGCTAATCACAGCTCCTGCCACCAATTCTCAGGCGTCCCCTGCATAAGTGCTCTTTTCAACGCAATCTCATCCTGCCAGCTTTTTCTGCAGAATGCATCTGTGAAGTTCCGGGATGGCCAGCGACCTCTATTTAAGCTCAAAATGCCCATGACCATGTTCGGCGTTCCACTGCAATCGGGGGTCACGGTCGGCGATGGCGAAGACTTTGGCTTCCATGTGAGCGTCCCCTTCGGTCCCTGCAAATGCAATGAGTTTAGTGGCCCTTCTCAGGAGGATTTTCAGGCCCCGTCATATTAGTTGGCGGGGTTCAAACTATCTTACGTTGGCCTAACCGGGGAGCTCGAAATGCAAACATCTACGAGAGTCTTTCGCAGCAGATTGTGATCTGCTGAAGCGGGATGGGGCATTGGCCGCGTAGTGAGAAAGTCTGGAAATCCACCCACATTCTCTGAACCCGCTGCTTGATCTTTGGTTCCTTGGATATGTCAAGGATTGTCCTTTGCCATGTTGTGTCGACGCAAGGAGTTCTTGATCCGAGCCAAGCGTCTGAGTACTTAGCCCCATTTCATTCCTGAGTGCAGCTAGGTACTGCTTTTGCATTCGGCCCGACGTGGAGGGTGAAGTACAACCCCAACGATGGGAACCCTCCTGCGCTTGAGATCAAGGTGTGACGACAGGCCCACTCCTCTGCAGAAAACTTCAAGCGTCTATGTTAGATAGGGAGTGGCCATGTTAGGCTGGTCGTTCCTACACACAAGCGAACCGTGACAAAACATTGTTGCAGAGTGCGTGCTAATGGTCAGAGTGAGATCTCAAAGTATGTTCTTAGTATGCAACTAGAACATGATAGCCTAAATGTTTCCTTGTGACCAAGCCTTGCCGCAAGTTGATAGCCGAGTGCGACAGCAGTTGTCAAACTCAAGGACACAAACGGTCTCCGCAAATAAAGTCATCAATCCTAGGATTGCAAAGAGTTCTACTCGGTATCCTACTTATGCTTATGTCTGACTTGATTCAATCCATTTTGCAGACGGGCTTAGGTCGCTGGGGGTCGAACAAGAACGCCGCTCTTCAGGTCTCTGCGGAGTGGGACTTGGCCGATATGAGGGGGGGCGGCAATGGCCGCTTCATGCTGAGAGTGAAACCAAGAGTGAGTTCAGACTCTCTGGGCCCACTCAACAGCCATACCAACAAAATTATCATCACACTCGCTCTGATCGGCTAACATATCTGGTGCATTAGATCTGGGATTGTAGGCTCATGGTAATACCAACACCAGTACTCTTGCTTGCTGAATGCCTCCTTGGGGTTTTCTAAAGCTCTCTTTGTCAAATCGCAGCGTCATTTGTCAGAAAAGAAGCACCTCGGGATTGGGAGAGGCTTGTGGGTGTCATATCCTTTCCGTGTGGGGTAACTTACTCTGTCTTGAAAGCAAGGTGCTTGGCATGAAGTTGGAACAGCCTGCTCTCCTTTGCAGCACAGATCAGACATCGCGCTCACTATTTGTGCAGCTTAAGAAAGTCCAATCTTCTGTGTAGCTGACACGGCGTCTCGTTGTCTTGGCAGCTTGGGGACTTCTCCTTACGACACCAAAGCATCTCGGGGTACAGCGGCGAACCTGAAGAGGAGAAGGAAGCCGGAGCAGAGGCCAGGCCGCACAGCGAGGCGAGGTATGGCTGGTCGCCACTGAGAAGCATTGCAATAGCACCAGTCTGCTAGTCGACTTGCAATAGACCAGTCAGCTAGTCGACGATCGGAGATCTGATATTCTTCTGATGAGAACGTGTCCTGTGCAAAGCATGCCCTTTTCTTGTGTCAATGCATCCAGCGAGTCTGTTGAGTGTGCACGAGCGGTGTCCACCCGCTATCCGCTCCTGTCGAAGTGTTGGCATCGTCACGCTGTGCGGCCTGGCGTTGCGTGACAAGGGTCCAACTGCATTGCCATAGTCCCAGAAGTGGGGGCCTCAGTGCATAAACGCCGCTCCCTTTGCTGCTCAAGTCCCGCACAAGTACATCACACCTTGCAAAACTCAAGATGTGTGTTCCGTGTCCACTATCTGTACAAGCAGCACGAATTCTGAAGGTCACGCGACCTTTGACAACCGGACTTCCGTGTCGTGTTTCTGCCAGGCAAGACGCCAGCCCAGACTCTCCCGCGTCAAGAACGGGCTCAGAGAACGGGAACGCGTCGGAGGACAGTCTGGTCGTCGTGGATGGGGCGGACTCGTCGTCCGCAATGGAGGCGCGAGAGGGGCCACCGGCGAAGCAAGGAGTGCAGCGGTCGATTGGTGAGTCGATGGAGTGTTGTAGGTTGGTTGTGATTGCAAACGGCTCTGCATATGGGACTGAATGCTGTGATGGTATAATTGAGCCGTGATCTAAAAACCGGCTGCCTGGAGAGATTGCACTCGCTTGATCGTCGACTGCTTAGAAGGCCTTCTTCATATGGACCACATGTCGTGACAAGAACCGTTTTTCATGATGGCAACCCCGTCCCACCAGAGGGAAGCAAAAACCAGGTTTGTTCGCCGGTCAGAATGATCTTTTCCTGGACATTCTGAAGTGATTTTGGCTGGGCGACACAGTGGCAGGTCTTCGATGATGTGGGACGTGCTATCGTCAAGTCCGATTGTTTTGGACCTTCTTTTGATACGTTACAGGCGCCATGCGGCGAGGCGCCTGGTACCTGAACGTGCACAGTAGACTGCCCCTCGGCAGCAAGGCGAACGCCCGCGTGCGGTGGGCTGTCAAAGTGCCCAATGAGATGTTCTCGTCTCCAGCTCGAGGGTAAGCTCATATCACCTTGTGCAGCAGCGGCACTTCCTGGTGTCGCATGATCATCTGCACATAAGAGCGTGACTGGCTCGGAGTAGCCTCTGCATGTCATTCCACGGCCTTCTGCCAATCTTAACAGGGACTGAAGAAATACAGGTGGTTTCTTCGAACGCTAGGTTTGCGTGCCTCTACGAATGCTGGAAGTCTGTATGTTGTGAATTGACTTAACCATCGGCTGCGGCCGCAACCCAACCTGTTTCGGAGTGAATTTGAACAGCGCTACTCGCTTGAGCACTTTTGCTATCGGCTCTTATTGAGGTGGACTGACTGTAGATTCCTCAGAGGCTGCTAGAACCTAAGCCTCAAGAAAGCCCACCGCTTGCCGTACGGTCGCCAAATCAATGCCACAACCTTTGGAAAACGCCGAAAATCACCGATTGTCCCGCAGTTACGGCGCGCTCGACCTGATCCACCGCCCGACGCTGGTGCTTGACATACCAAGCCTCAACCACTTGTCGAACGCTCACCGAATTGTTCACACCCTTTAAAGATTGTAGTTTCTTCCTGCAGTATCGGCGCGCTCGACTTGAACCACCGCCCGACGCTGGTCCTCGAGACCCCAAGCTTCAAGGAGCCTTAGTGCTCTCCATATGCCCGACCGTTCCATGCCAACCTCTATACGAGATTGCATTTTTCCTCTGACAACGTCTTTGCTTCCTGCAGATTTGGCGCGCTCGACCTGAACCACCGCCCGACGCTGGTGCTCGAGAAGCTGAGCATCGAGACGCGCGAGCGGCGCAGCCTGTCGTTCCAGAAGAACATCTACGAGCACCGCCCGCACCCGCGGCGGCCGCGACGGGAGGCGCTGCCGGCGCCGGACACGGACAGGGAGCTGAACGTGCTCAAGGAGGACCTGGCGCGGGTCAAGTCAACAACGGTGAGCGGGTTAGCTCACGTCGAAAGACTGAGCAGCTCTACAATTGGACGGATTCGAGGGGCGGGAGGACTACAAACAGGGGTGTTGTATCACGATTGTGGTGTGGTTTTAGAAAAGAGTTTCCTCGCGTCAGTCAGGGGACTCTGAGTGACACTGAGCTGGCACGGAATCATCATACCTGCGGCGTTCAGGGTCTTGAGTTTTTAGGTTCCCCTGAGGTAGTCTGCTCTGAATGGTGTGCGGGCTGCCATGCCACCTGTTCAGACACACACCTTTTTGAGCTACTTCGAGCGGTCCAAACAAATAGGCACTGTTGCCAGTCGTCGATGGCGGCAGAGACATCGAAGGTTGAGAGCAGAAATTGAGGAACTTGAGGGCTTTGCTGACGTACGATTTGCCATCGCTTTGGTTCATTAGTGTGGTTAAGAATAAGCTGTCTCCTAGCAACGAGGTGGTCAAGAGGTGAACACGATGTCAGCTACGCTTTTATACTCTGGAAGCACTTTTTTAACCCAGACTCCGCTTCGAGATTGATACGCAATACTTGCGGGGTGAGTGCCTGAGCACTGGTTGGCGCGCCGTCTGGGAAAGCATCTTTCACCGTGCTTTGTGTACGTTTCTCTTTACGGACCTGTACAGTTCCATGGGATGAAACAAACTTCGTTTCGTTCGTTTCGATGAACAGGGCGAGGCCCCTCCAGTGACAGGCGTGATCCTTGTGTGCAGCAGTCCAACTCCCGGAGCATCCAGAAACTAGAGTCGGAGAACTTTGACCTGCGGAGCGCGCTCGACGACCTCAAGGCGCAATTCGCCAGGGGGAAGCCGCGCGGGGGGCCCACTTCGTCGCCTGTGAGTCGCCGATTCAGATCCGGTTAAAGTAGTTTTGTTTTAAGCATCTTGCTTGAAGAGGCTTGAGTTCAGAAAAGTAGAGGGCGACGAAGGAAGTGCTTCGCTGCGGGGCGGGCATTTTCTATAGCGCCAGGAACGGGCTTTTGCGATCCTGCGTGAACAGGCGATGCTGAGCTCCGAGCAGCACGTATATCGGTGTCTCGATTGAACGAGTTTCTGTGACTCCTTTTTGAAATCGCCCTTCGCTACTCGGCAGGCTTCCTTGAGTACGCCACAGGCGGCGATGCTGTGCTCCTCTAGTCCTTTTCTGAGCAATCCTAGACTTCAATCAACCGCTCCACAACCATCCCTCCCTCCTAGATTGAACCGAAGTTGCGAGAGCGAACAGGTGTTGCGAAAGATCGCAAAAGGACCGTCCTTCGGTTGTCGGCAGGCTTCTCTGATATCGCGCACGGACGTAACGCTGTGCTCCCTCCTTTACCCAACGCTTCAGCACGTCTCTTCGGCTTTGATCGAGCTGAAAAGCCCTTTCGAACAGGCACCCCTTGCTACTTGATAAACACCTTTAAGTAGCAAGTATTTCTTCAACAGCAGATCGGGCAAATCTGTGTTTTCTTTTGAATTATCGCTCTTGACTGCTCGCAGGCTTCCGTGATTTTGCGCGAGGAGGCGATGCTGCGCTCCCAGCTGAAGCACCTGGAGGAGGAGGAGGAGCGGGGCCGGCGGGAGCGGCCGCGGCAGCAGGAGCCGCGGCGGGTGCAGGAGGAGCGCGAAGACGACGGGGACGAGCCTGCGCAGGACGATTCTGATATCAGGTGCGAAGCTTAGCTTTGGCTAAACCTAAGAAATTTGGAATCTTCGAAACCCTAAAGGCTTCGGATTTGAATCCGTGAACGTTGTAAGTAGAAAGACTCGGTTGTGGAGGAGCGGGACGACGACGGCGACGAGCCTGGGCAGGACGATTCCCACATCAGGTGCGGAGCTTCAGCTTTTGTTAAATCCTAAAAGTTCTGGGATTCTTGAGACCTTAAGAAGGTAAAGATTGGTGGACGAGCGAGAGGACGACGGTGACGAGACGGGGCAGGACGACTCCGACGTTGGGTGAGGAATTGGATTCTGTGGAACGCAAAGCTTTGAAACTCTAAGACCCTAATAACGTGAAACTCGATGGAGGAGAAGCGGACGACGACGGATTCGAGCCGGGGCAGGACGACTCCGACATCGGGTGCGGAGCTCGGCTTTGATATTTTCCGGTAATTGTACTCCAATTACCGGAAAAGGTGGATGATGCTAAACGTAAGGCGAGCGCCTGAGCTTTGACTTTGCCGGAGGTCGTCGGAAGAGAGGCTTTCAGATTCTGATATCGTCACGAGGACAGAAGGACTTGGCGCAGGATTCGGTGTGAAGCTCGGCGTTTACTCTTTCCGACTCGTGACGTGTAGCCTCCAAATGTTGGATGGCGGGGAGGTTTGTTGCAACAGTAGGCGAGGGACTGTTGCTCGACTTTGGCAATCGGCGTTGGAAGGGTAGGCGACTCCCACAACCAAAGAAGGTTAATTTTGGTGCTAATGGAGGAATCTTCTGGAGGAATCCGCATAAATCGCGTAACAGTCGTTGAAGAAAGGAGTTCGGCGGGAATGCAGGCGCCTCCGATTCCCATAGGCTGGTTTTAGCCTGCCCATCAAGACGATTGGACAAGTCCTCTCGAAAATGTCGAGTTTTTTCAAAAAAGTGATGGGGCAGACCGCAACCCGACAGGACCTCGGTCCTCATGCTTTTTCGCTCTTCGGAAACGCTTGTTCCAAAGCATCGACGTCCTTACTTTGAAGAAAGTGTATCCTTCAGAGAAGAAGACAAAGGCTGGCTTAATACGTACTACGGGCTTCGTTTAACGCTTTCCTTCGTCTTGCCCATAAGGCTTCGTGAATCAGAAAGCATCCGAGTCTAGCAGGTGTCACTTCAAAAGTCGTCATGCACTCTCACTAACGCTCGAAAAGGCGATGCCAAAGCGAGAAGCAACTCAAGTCCCCGGACTCGATATTCATCAATTGATCTCCTTGTGCAGTGCGAAACTGCGACAGGCGTTGATGCAACGAGGAAGTCGCCGGTGATCAGACAAGATCTGATGCAAAAGTTGTGGCCAGACAACGGGCAAGTGTCGTGTATATATTCTTGAATGTTTGTGGTGGTTCAGTCCACGCGGTTCCGAGGTTTGAGCAAGGGAATCTGCTTTCGAGAACCCTTTCAAACATTTTTAAGCGTCTCATTGAAGGTATCTCTCCAGAAGGCGTATCCTCAACGTTTGGCCGTGCTTTTCCGTTCGAAAGTTGTGAGGGCGACATTCAAAACAATACTATTCATGAGTCATGGCATATGTCAATATGGTACTACTTATTGCGAGCTGAGGTTAAAATGCATCAATGGCACGTTGGTAACCCTTCAGCTCAGGACTGGCACGTGACCCCAGCGCATTTACGAGAAAGGTTTATGCTAGCATAAACTAGGAGGCTTTCATGCGGCCCCGGGGACTTTATGCATGTGCAGATTTCACTGTGGCTAGTTGCACGTGACGGTTGGGCCGACGGCAACGGATACATATGCCTAGGTCAATGGAGGCATACCGTAACCCATGCCATGGCGCCTACATGTACGCATGCTTACATGGTATGGCATCATTGCATATGCCATCACAGTGATTCGAAGGGCCTTCTATGGGCCGGAGTTAGGTCCGGTGAAAGCTAGGCAAGCGTCACCGTTGATGCTCTCGTGTTCGAGAAGCTCATTGACGCCCTGTGTATCAAGCAGCTTTCCTGCCAGAGGGCCGCGTCGATTAGCGTCGATCCGGCCCGGCGTCCACCTACGTCTTAAAGACGGCACTGACTTAACGACTCAGTTACATTCACCAAGCTGGATTGCATGCCGTTGATGCTCTGCGAACACTCTTCCTGATCTTGTGAGTTGCTTTGCGATGTAGGAGAGCTGTTTGAGGGAGCGGCAGTAGTCCTGCTTGAGTTGTGGAGGCTGCACAAGAGCAATAGAAACAATGTCGTCAGTTTCTTGCTTCCCTCTGCAATATAAAGGTCGACTGAAGGATCTGCTTTAGTGAGAACTGAGTGCTCTCAATCGGACGATAACTCTGGGAAAGGTTCTAGCTCAGCAGCTCATGTTGACAGCAGATAGCTGTGAATACAAAACGTTCCGTGGAGGGCCAAAGCTGACCCTTCAATTGATACGACCTTTCACCAAATACTCCGCAGGATGAGTTGGTCCTTTGCATACTTTGGGTTGCCTTTAGGGGACCAGAAAACTTTGCAACTCTGCATGATGTCCCAAGAGTACTATCCAGTGTCTGGTCAAGCATCACAGTTCCACCTTGTTCAGTGCTCTTTGCTCAATCATGCTCAACCAGACAGCAAGCCTCATGTGCCAGCCTTGATATTGATTAGTCGCCATCGATATCTCACTCTGCTGGTCGTCCTTTCAAGGCACGCGGCTACTGTCCTTCACGGTAGGCCATCATATACAGTAAACAGAACGAGGAAAGCCCCACTTAAAACATCCTCTTTCATCAAAGTATGCATGTCAGTCCCAAGCACGGTGGCTTAGCCTCATTGCAACATCTGCTCACCCTTGCCCTCCAAGGAAACGCTGTCGTGTCTTCGAATCACTTGCGGACTTTCAGACTCAAAGTCAACAAGTTCAATTGAATTTTGCAAGGAGCCCAAGCGACTTTGCTCACCGTGCTTTCAGGGACCTCACAGCTTCCTGAAGCTGCTTCTTCTCCTCTGCCAATTGGACTTCTCGAACAGCCTGCTCCAAGCCCTCAAGCACAAGCAGTTGCTGCTCTCGCTTGTTGCGCGGGGTGACTGCAAGGACGAAGCGTTGACAACTTGGTGAGGTTGATCATCATTGGCAACTTGTTTGCAATGCAGCGCTGAGTGCCGTAAGAAGCATGTTAGCTCCCCAGTGAAAATTGATATATTGCAGGCCGCATATTTCTTCTGACCTGAGCAGTTGGCAGTTTCATAGTACCGTTTTGGTTGTTGAAAATATCACTGACAAGTAATTTAGTGTCCATCATGCGAATGGTTGGTTGATCTTTGCTTGTCCTTACAGTACTTGCCTAGCTGGTGTTCAGGGTGCTCTGGTGGTAGTGAGATTCAAAAGACCTATCATGAGCAGGTCTGCTTGTGAAGGGTCAAAGAAAAATTTACATCCAATGTGTCCCCCGGCCTGCGCACGCCTGTAGACATTAAGAGTCACCAGCTTTGATCCTCCCCCGGATCCTCCGGACTACCGGAATCTCAGCAGAAGATTGCCTGGTAACAATCCACAAGATCTGATCGTTTGACTGCCAGCGAGTTACGGAAACCAACTAGAACGAAGTTAGCATCGCCCTTCTTTCCTTACCAACATATAAGCACCTGGTACCAGAGACATCCTGCACTTCCGCTATAGTGCTTGATGATCCTTCTGCCACACGACCTGCTATAAAGCGGCCTGCCTCCAAGCTCCAGGCAGCAAGTAAACTGAAAAGAGCCTTACTCACACTTAGACTAGGCCCAGGGTCTGTATGTCAAGCCCAGCCCTGGATGCCAAGACCGAGGGATCCCCTCGAATATACTCAAGTTTCCACCGTCCGATCGAAAGGATGTAAAGCTTGTACGCCGCTTGATCCCCACGTCTGTCGACGCCGCGTCTCCGTAGATCCCTGCACTGATCTGAAACTGCGGCGCAGATTCAGAGAGGAGGGCGGATCCGATCGCGAGAGCACTAGGTATATGCATGTCGAGAATGCAACTTATAACTAACCGGTATGCACTGAGAGTCAGGCTGCGTAAATCGTGCTCTCAAAATGCGCTCGCATGTGAGACCACACGTCAAGGCAACTATGCTTCACAGATCGCATCGCTAGCTCTCATTGCCAGCCATTTTGCGGCTCAAATGAGTTGAGTCGAAGTTCTTGCGCATGAGACTTTGATCGGATGCGAAGATTTTGACCAGGGCGAGATATAGCACGGCCAGGATCAAGATTTATTGTAGGGTGGAAGAAATCTCATAGCCCATGCATGGAGGTACATGGATCGAGAGAAGATGATATTGAGCAGATAGCCCATAACAAATACATAGGTAGTCGATCCTTACGGGGCCTCATTATACCTTTTTGGTGGTGCTCTTGGAGCATGACAAGGCAGAATGTTGAGTTATGAATGCTAAGGCCACCCGGCTGGCGACTGCCATGTCGGCAGCACGACTTGTGCTGCACATCACAGTAATCATAAAGCTCATGCTAATCAATTCTGAAAAGAATATTGACTTGAATCATTGGCCATTTCGTCAGCTCTGCCTGAAGAGAAAGGCACAAGAGCGGCCCAAACAGAGGGATATGTTGGAACATGGTTGGTTCCCATTCCGGCGGGGAGAAAGTAGCGGCCCCTAAGCAAAAGTTGCAAAGCCATTTCGGAGGAAGGAAGCAACGCTCTGACTGAACATTCAAGCGAACTTCGTTGTAGGATATGCGTCCCCTGATTCATGGCGGCTGTCGTTTATACGATAATATTCAAACACGCCTGAATAATTCGCTCAAAAAGCCAAGACCAAATTTCACTTGGCTGGAAGCAGTTCTCCTATTTGAAAGTCGTCAATGATGTCGTAAACACGTTGTGGGTGTTGGGGCCTGCAAATCAACAACATCGACAAAGAAGCATAAACATGAGACCTAACGCTGTCAGCATTTCTTCGAGCAACCGTTCACAATTACTGGTGCCTTATGCGTGCTACTTGTAACAATCCCCTTTTTCGTCTTCCGGTCCAAAAAACATGAGGTACCTACTACATTTCTTGATGACAAATGTGCACTGAACCAACCTGACAAAGAAGGCGATTCCTACTTCCACGATACACAGAATGGTAAAAAAAGTCAGTATGCGGAACCATCTTTACGAGAATATCGATCTGCAGATGAATCTGACAATAATAGCCACCATAAACTTCAAATGAAGGCAGGCTTTCGTCGGTTGGTCTGGCTGAAGAAAGGTCGCGCTAACCGCTCTGGATTTGAATTGTTGCTCGTCAATATCCAAACATACAAAGATGGCTCACCCATGAAAGCCTTCGCTAGCATCTCCACCCGCGTTCCGCAGAATGGCATCCCCCCCAGGGTGTTCTTCCACATAAGGCGTCACGTCGTATACCTGCACAGAGCCCAAGATCTGCGCTTAGCAATAATTGATGGTTGATGCTCTTTGTTCATGCGAGCAAGATGATGAGCTGATGAAGTCATAAAAAAGGCTGCAGACCAGATCACAGGGAACTGCAACACAACGTGTTCAACGCTAAGAATAAGGGGTGCTGCAAGGTCAGCAAGAGCAGCTCTCTTTGAGGAGCAGATTTTCACTCATTGTCATAGGTTTCCGAATATTACTACCATTGCAGGTCTTCTCCAACCTGAGGGGATGGAAAAAAGGAGATCACTTCTACAGCTGGTCCATATGAAGGAGAGGTGCCAGTAAGCTAAAGACGGCTCACCTTGTCATCGACTATGATCCAGCAGTCGCCTCGATCTACGTGCTTTGCGACCTCGTCTTTTGTGTACTTTCGTCGCTGTAAACATTAAGACGGTGTCAGCGTAATAGGCGGAAAACAAGCACTGCCTTCACTGACAAGTCCCGTTTGTGGGAAAGCACAATGAGCACTGTACTGATGAAGCAGCCGCATCTATCAGGCACATGCTGGACCTTAAGTCTCTGTCCAGAGAAGCTGTTTGGAATTGCATGACCTACTTGCACCATCTTTTCCCCGGTTTCTCTGGCAAGAGGATAGGACTTGAGGAGCGCAGTAGGCATCAACTGCACAAGTCTTTGTTGGTCAACTAAAAGGCATCAGAACGAGGAATGTGCATCAGGATGGGGTGAGTCTTCAGAACAGGCAGCTTACCCTGTCAAGCGGCTCTGCTTTAATTGTTGCAATGGGCGCACCTGCCAAATATCCAAAAACATGTAGTTTGCAAGAGGGGATGAGAAGTCTCAAAATGGTGCGGCGTGCTCTGGGGGTTCAGCTTTTTACAGTGGCCGCTCATTTCTCCTGTTTATCTCGTCTCTTGGAGTCCACCCGAAGGCTTGAGCACTACTGCTTCACATTTGATGCCAGCTGCCTTCAGAAACTTACAGGATGCCGTCTCTGCAGCTGAAGGCCCCAGTGACATTATACCTAAGTAAGAATCCGGTTGAACTGCTTGTAGTGTCACTAAGAGACGTATTGAGCGTGGGTGGCATCACGACATGAGAAGTGCGCTTGAGCAGGTTTTCACGGAGGGCAAACCAAGCAACAACGAGTAGAGCTAGCTCTCACGTATTTTGATAGACAGTAAGCCACAGTGCGCGATCTTCTTCGACATGTGATTGAAGAGGACTCACCCTGACCCTGCTGCCGTTTTGTACACAAGCTAGATAGCATCCACAACACAAGAGCGCCCGCTGCCACCGACCAGATGTACAGTGCTGGAACGGTGAAGAAGAGCTCATGAAAGGCCTCCATGATGCCAAAGCAGTGGAGATTTGCTAATCAGTGCAGAACAAGGGCGGTTGCCAATGTAGCCTCCGTTGTGGGAAGAAGGAAGAAGCCAGAGCTAGCAATCTGTGCAGCCCTCCCTTATCCACCTCCGGACCCCCACTGGAAGAAGAACTCCACCGGGGACTTGTGTCCAGACCGCCGGCATCAACCGGCATCTCCATCAGCTGCTGTAAACCAATTCCGAAGTCGCTTCTCCCGTTATGGACCCGCCTGTAGCCAGACTCCCTTCCATTTAGAAAGCGGCCACTTGATCGCGGGTCACTGTTAACCTGGGGGTATCGTCGTGCCGGCGCTTATACCGGGCGGTATCATATGCTCCCCGGTAATTGATCTCGCGGTGGTTAATTCCCTGCTTCATGATTGATTTTGCTGCTTTGCACTGCAGGCTCAGCCGCAGCGCCAGGTGGCACCTGGGTCCTGTAAAGTTTCCTGGAGGCTGGCCTGTCGGATGAGGTTCGAAAGCACAGGAGCTGAGAGCGAAGTAGAAGTGGTCTATTGTAATTTGTCTATTGTATAGTATTGAAGAGTTTCCTGGTTCCATGCAACGTCCTGGCAGCTGCTGATTGCGGGTTTTGAGAGCTGAAGAACGCAATAGACGGTGTCGACCTGTGACAAACTGTTGCTGGCGCATACTGAGCTGGAAGTGCGGTTCCATCGGCCCAGGATTGAGCTGGTGAGTGATCGATGAGACTGAGCATGCATTTAGAATGCATGCAGTTTTGCCAATGTCCCCTCAGATTACATTTTTCTAGTGCTCATTTTGCCAAGCATTTGAAACATATGCATCAACGCAATCTGAGGGAATCATAGTTGGAGTCTGCTTTTAAGTAGTGGTCAAGCGGAAAGGCGACATATTGCGATGAAATGCTTGGGGAAAGGAACGTGTCAAAAAAAGTATATTTTAAAGCGTAGATGCATTCTGTTCTCCTGAAGCGACTCAGCGCATGCTCAACTGTTCAGGGACCTTCAGCACTGATTTTTAAAGACTCGCAAAGATTGAGAAATTGAGTGAGTCCATCTAGTGGCAGCTTCTTCCTTGTATAAAGGGCTATGCTATTGGTTCTGAAGTCAAGCCCTCAATGTTTTTGTGGTCCAAAACAGTAAGACCGTAGTGTTTGTGGAATCAAATTGTTCAGGCGCCTGTGAAGGATCACAGATACAAGCAAGTGTCCCAATTCAGTCCTTCCTCAATTCACTAGAAGCTGGTCAACAGACTTACATAAGAGTAGAGTCTTTCCTAATACAAAGATGCATACTTGGGAGGATCTCTACTCTAACAATCCACATATGCAGACACAGACCTTTCCTGTCTTGGTACGGCTGCCTAATATGCTCTCCGCTTCATTCTGCAGATGCTGGAGAACCTTCCTGATGTAGGCCTGAGAGGGCGCAAGCGGATACAGAGTACCTATCTAGGCCTTAAAAAGTACGGTTTAGAGGTAGTAGGATAACCTGGAGGTGCTTGTGAGCCTGCCGTTTAGGCCACCATTTCACCAAATCTCTAATTTTGCCATGAACTGCACAGCAACAGCCACAGTTGCCAGAGTTGCGCCACACTTCCCTCACGCCGCTGTCCCAAGCCATGATATGTTGACAAGCACAGCGCTAGGCAGGACTCTCCCGCACTGGAGAGCCGCACTCAGCAGCGCTTCCGCAATCTCCTCTGGTCGAGAGGGCTTCTGCAACACTTACAACAGACAGAGTAGGACCGCGCCTCACTGTAGACAGCCTCAAAGCCGACGGCTTCTTGTAGCTTGCAGTCTTCGAAAAGACAGCCATTCACAGCCAATGTACCGCCAACTCCAACCCCCTCCCTTTAAGGATGGTTCCCGTTTGGGTGCTGCCAAAAGTCCCACCTACGGCCTCTTTCTCAATGCCGGCCAGGGAGGTTTCACAAGAGACGGCAAGTTCAGAAAGTCGTCCTCATTCTCCCCCCCTGTCCGGGCCGCCTCCTCAGGGGCCCTCCCTATCCCTCCGGAAGGGGACGAAAACGTCATCCGTCCGATCGACGCGTTTGAGGGCCTTCTGGGGGTTGCTGGGGCGGCTCCCAGGGATGCTAGCGACAGGAGAGGGGACGCTGAAGTCAGCGGTGATGTCAGCAAAGAGGAGGTGCGCAGGAAGGGCCGTGCAGTTGCAGGGGTCAACCAGGGGCGGCTCGTGGAGGCGTGGGAGATCGCGGATCCTGACAGCCGGTTCGCTGAGTATCGGAAAGTCTACATCCACTACAAGATTGCCATGCCTGGGGGCGCATCATGGACCCCTGTTTCTGGGAGTTCGGCCTCTGGAGCGGAGAGAGACGCGCAAGGAAAGCTGGTGAGGACAATCGACCGCCTTGGGGGCTCGAACTCGGGCGCCAGCAACTCCCCAGAAAGCGTCTCAGAGGCACAAGGGAGGAACGAGATTGAGGAGGCGTCCACGTCGGGGCGGCCAGCGTTTCCGACGATTCTGTTACACGGGTTTGGGGCGTCGCTTTTCTCCTGGGAGAGGGTTCTACAGCCAGTAGCAGAATTGGCGGGCGGCCCCGCGCTCGCATTTGACCGTCCAGCGTTTGGGCTGTCCGCCAGGGTCGAGCCAAAGAACCTGCCGTTGAACCCGTACAGCGAAAAGTTCTCAGCCGCCGCGACTCTGGCGTTCGTGGACTTTCTGGGAGGGAAGAAGGCGGTCCTGCTGGCGTGAGTAAACTAAAAGTACATGTTACACGTTTTTTGCGGATGTTTTGGGTTGTCGACTGCTCTTGGACCGCTCAAAGGGCCTCACGCGTCCCACAGATTGCTTGTCGATTGAAACTGCGACATTGTAGGCAACCTTAGCATTGCTGTCGTCGTGCTAGTCCTGCCTCAGAACTTGCTATGATCAACGACGGCTGTCTCTACCATGAACGAAGAGCTCATGTGGCCTGATAAGTGGAACGCCTGTGGACTTGAACAACGAATGATACTGACTTTCCGTAATAGTATCCAGTCCGCTTGCCTTCTCTCCGAGACAAGCTACCCTCCTTCTGTAGCCGCCTTGGAGAAGGTTCGACGTCAGACGCCCACAGCTTTTTCAGTTGTCTTTTGCAAGACCAGAGTCGAGGACCGACCTCACGTTCCGCTGTTCCGTTGCAGCCATTCCGCCGGCTGTGTAGTCGCCCTCACGTCGTACTTCCAGGCCCCGGAAAAGATCGCCGCCATCATTCTCGTCGCCCCGGCCATCTTCCCCAAGGCCGGGAAGCCCTCAGAGCCGCAGCTCGAGCCAGCGGAATCCGCTTCCGGCCCCCAGGTTCCGTTCTGGCAGCTTCCGTTCGTCTGGATCAAGCGGGCAGCTGCGGCAGTGATTTCTGCCGTCAAGTGGGTTGTGCGGCAGTTCCGGCGGGGTTTGGGAATCTTGGGGCTGGCCCTTGCGGCAATCGTGGTGCGATCGAGGGCGGCCACGTGGGCGGTGAGACAATTTCTGACCTCTGTTTGGACAATTGAACGGTTGAAGATTTGTGATTGGGTGCCGCCGCGCTCGATGCAAAGAGCATCGAAGAACTCATTCGCTGATGGGCAGCGTTACTCGACAGGCGTGGTCTGCGGTATGGACGGCTTGTTGCCTTCCTGAGCTGCAATGTGATCGACGGACTGCATGACTTCCAAGCCTCGCGCTCTTGGTCCGATGTACACACCTTCAAAGACATTCGGCAACGTCAACGCCCCTGGAATGAAAGCTTGTTTCAGGCATCCTAAACCGTGGCCAAACATTCAGCCACTGTTTGTAGCCGCACCTGAACGCCCCGACTGACGCACCCCATATCCATGCGTCAGTGACTGTGCATAACGTGCATTCCTCGGTCGTGTGTGCGGCTTCGCCTCTGAGTGGACCTCTCCCTGCTGACCCCCATCGATGGCCCCTGAGTCGATCAGTTTTGTCTTTTTTTAAATCACCTATTCGGTGTACGTGCAGCTTCGTCTTGATTACACGCCCCCGATCGACGGCCCCAATGTCATCTTTTTCGATTAACGCAAATCAATAAAAGCCATCATTCGTGTTTCGTATGTGCAGCTTCGCCTCATCTTGGACCGAGTTGGCGAGGCTGGCGTCAAGTCCGCGTGGTTCGATCCCGAGGCTTGCACACAGGACGTCCTTGACGCGTACAAAAAAGTAAGTCGTTGTAGCGTCCCTTTGGCCGCCAGGGCTTCTCGTCACCTTGTATACCCGTTTGCTTTGTTCATCCGTTGCAGAGGGACGCGGATCTCTTCAACGCCGCCAGTGCAATCCTCTTTCAATGTTATCAACGGCACCGTCTTTAGCTTACATCTGCGATTTGAGATGCGGAATGAGACGGCTTCGCTTCCTGCTACCGCTTTTATCATGCATGATAAAAGTACACCCGAAAACGACAGGCCAACCAGCCGGCGTCTCGCTGGAAATGGCCAGGACTAAGGTCGTGATTCGAGGATTGACTGCTTGGCTGTTCTTAGGCAGTACGTCATTGCATCTCAGCACCTTACTCTTGAAACCCTGACGCCCCTTGGGATTCCCGACAGCCGCTTAAGGTGCGCGGGTGGGAGCGCGGCCTTCTGGAGTTTGTGCTGGCGACCATGGGGGGATCCCCCGGCTCCGAACTGCCGCTGGGCCACAGGCTGAGCGAGGTCACGTGTCCAGGCAAGGGCCAATTCACACCACCCCCCCTCCTTTTCGTGGCAAGTGCGATAGGCCCTCCTGACGAGTGTGCTTAGGAGGTTTCTGTGCCCGCTTTTGAACGTTCAAAGGACCCATTTCTCTGCCTCCTCTTTATTGCAACCGTAGTAGTGTCACAGACAGGGAGTTTTCGGCAACCGAAACGTTCGGGAGCGGGCACAGCCCTTCCTGAAAGACAGGCGGCGACACGATTTAGCGAGTCTGCCGTATTATTCTCGCGCCTTTAGCGTTTCGGGGGTATATTCGGTTGTACATTACGTCGCTCCTTTTCGCGAAGACCCCTCCTTTTGCTGTTGAAAATTTCGAGCATCTCCGCCTTGCTTCCATTTTTCTTCGCTATAAGAACTATTTCAGATATGTTTCTCTGAAGGAGCCCCGCCACCAAACTAGCTGTCGTAAGCGACCCTCGTGATTGCTGCTTCGTCACGACGTGTATTTCTTTGTCAATGCCCCTCGCCACAGCTTCGGACAACGCCTAAACCCTTGCTTTCCCGGCGCTCTAGTTCTCGTTGTTACTGGCGATTCAGACCGACTCGTCCCCACTTGGAACTCTAAACGGGTCGCCGAGGCCCTGCCCCGAGCGCAGCTGCGGGTGATTGAAAGATGCGGTCATCTGCCACAAGAAGAGAAGCCCCAAGAGCTTCTCTCCGCAATCAGGGACTTCTTACGAGATCAGTTCGAGAACAGCGGCGAGCAATCCCCTAGTCGTACGTTCTAAGCCACGCATCGTTTTGCACACGTTGAGTAGTTGACAAGTCGGCGAGACCTGCCGACAGCTATTCAGCCTGTGTCTCAGCATGAGAGCCCGAGCCACGCTGTCGCTCCAAACAGGTAACCAACTTTTACAATTACTAGGTGCAAAAACTGGATGGTGCCATGCAAGCTCGCAGAGGTAACGTATTGCATTTAAGAGGGCTTACGCAAGAGCATACACGGCTGGTGTAGATTAGTAGAGATTAGCAATGTGCACCGGCCTACCTAGCTCCTTCTATCCAAAGGAACGCTACAGCATTCTTTGAGAACGTATTTGAGTGTAAACTAATCTGTCCACGGTCTCCAACCGGCAAGATTTTGACAATTTGACAGTCCGGCGTCAATCGTCCCCAATTACTACATGCATGTTGCGACGCTTGTACACTCAAAAGACCGCCATGTCAGATTTTGGTACTTCATGCTCAATTTGAGCTAAGCAGGCCTAAATATATCTGGCGGCATTGAATGCCGCTCTCGTATCAGGCTTGTGGAGCGAGCTCTGGACATGCCGCGCTGACCGTCAATTATCGATATTGTACAAGATGAGATGTAGTTTGTATCCATTTATCGAACATGGACAAGACAACAAGTTGAGATTTTAGACTGGCTCGCATGGGTTGCATGTGGAGCCTCCCAAACTTGAGGAATTTTGTCCTCCGCCAGCTGGAACGCATATCATGCGCCCTGCAGATCAGGATCGGTCAAATTCCGACATGTGCACACGATAGCCGAAACCTAAACATGCTCTGCATCATCAAACTTTCTTCCCGGCAATCAAACGGCTCGGACCATATGCTTTTGAACCTTTTACCGGGCGCGAAGTGGCTGTAAATCAGGCTTCAGCCGGCCCGGGACTCCGCGGCCGCCCGGCCGGGAGACCTTGAAGTTCCGAAGTTCACTGACAAACATGCAGG